CTGTTCTCAATATTACAAGAGAAAAGACGAACAAATCAGCAGGGATTTCGCAGCAGCATTCAATTTCAAGAAATAGAATTGCAGTGAGTTTTATCTAATCCTTAACATTCAAGGAAATCTAGGTTGTTATATCAGTATTCAAAGATTAGCAAACTACCATTTGCTCCAATTGCAGCTGTCAGCTCTGTCAAGTTAGGAGCATGTCTTTACCTCCTGTCACACTTACTGCAGCCACCCTGCCACACTTTCTTCATCTAGTCTTGCACCTGCATCAGTTTTCCCTGACAAAATGCCAATGTTTATAAAGATCTTGCATTTTCACTGAAGCAGGACGTAATCGCCAAGACAGCTTTATGATCATGGAGAACCACAGCAAAAAATTAATGGAGTAAAAAAATCCCTTTATTAGGTTATTTTAAAGAGATTTTTCTAATGATATGCACAAAAGAAGCTACAGTGCAGCTTTCTTATTTCTACAAAAAATGAACACTTGTGAGCACCAGTGACCACTGCTTTTCGCACCGCAGATGAAGTAGGTACCAACACCTATTTTACTTAGGACTGATATATATTTTCCCTTATAAGACTTTCAGGTATTTTTGTCTTTGACAAACTTCACCAATTTTAAATGATGCATGCCATGAAGTCTGGTACAAGCCATACTGTTCTAGAATATATCAGCTATTATAACTTAACCATTTGCAGGAATGAGGAAAAGGGACTTTTTTTTCCTCCATCCTAGAAAATTCTGTTGACCTTTTGTTTGAGATACTCCTTTTGAACACCAGCCTGAAATCTAGTTGAAAGGTAGCCACTGTCAGAGATGTATTTTTTGCTTTTTCTGTGAAAATCAGCTAAATGTTTGACCAATTTATAAATCTTCAAAAAATCTAAATTCATAAATGTCCCCACAGACTGAAGATGAAGAAATACTATATGATTATGTCACTAAAAACTGGCCAGCATAATCAAAAGGATTGTTCCACGCTCTATCTAGGACTTCCTGAAATTTAAGCTTTTGACATGACAATTTTAGTAATCTTTAAACGATGGGGGTTTTTTGTTTATAAGAGTGACCTCTTTCTGTTCCAAAGCAATTGCAGAAGCAATTTAAAATCCCCTATATTAATATTTCACTGTATGGAAAAGAGAAGCTTCCCTCTTGCTTTTCAAGGAGAGTAAGCCAGAGCACAAGAGTGATTAGACTTAATAAGACCAAATTGCCAGCACTGGGTCCTAATTAGGAATTATATCCTTAAGCATATGCTGAACTCCATACGTACACATTTAACTGAATTAGGACCTACATGGCTATGACATTAAATTTTATCAGGCCAAAAAAGGCGTTTAAGGTAAAGCAATGGCCTGCTCTGCACAAAACAACCGAACTGTTCTCCATGTGCTCTCTTGCTGTCAGCCCTCTCAGAGGAGAACATTTTTGCCATGTGAACGGAGCACAAATCTTTTACTGTTCTTGTACTGAAAGTATTTTTTCTGGGTAAAACTAAAATAATATCAAGTTTGTTTAATTTTACATTCATACATTTTTAGCTACTTCTGATGTGTCATTAAATGTTTTCTGGAGGGTCAACAGGCAGCTGATTTCACTAGGACTATTTCACCATTATTCTCATTTTGCAAAAGGCCAAGTCCAGAAGGAAAAATTTAACTTTGTAAGTTCTGATTCTCTCTTTTTCTAGTGTCCAAAATGGGACTTCTTAAATGCGAGGAGAGAGAGCATATGAACTCAGCCCCAGAGATGAGCTTTCCAAACACAGGCTGTCGAGACATGCCTGGTGCCATACTCCCTTATGGCATGGTCCTTTTATTCTACATCTAATAAGAAAATGGGGTTCCCTAACACCCATGGAAAAGTAACTAAAATAAACTTTTTCTCACAGTTTTTCATAGAAGAGGCACAAACGTTAAAGCAAAAAATTAGGAAAATAAAGGAAAAAAAGAAAGCTAATGGAAATTGGGAAGTGTCATCTCGCTGTGCTCCCCATGGCCTGCCAGGCGCATGGGCTTTCCCAGCTGCAGCAGCGGGGGAACCGAGGCAGGGCACTGCCAGCCAAAACCTCAGGGAGTTTTCCCCTATAGTGTCCTATAGGCTGCACTTTCCCTGTTAAAAAATTAAACATAGAAATCTTCATCAAAGCCACTCTTGATAGAAAATATTTGAAAACCATTTCAGCAGGCGGCCTCCC